AAAATTGATATCTAAATAACAGATTTTTTCTTAAAAATCAGTGCATTTGTTCTTGAATTGAGGACATAAGTGAGATACTCTGCCAATGGAACAAGACAATTTACATTTAAAATAAGAAAAAGCAACCGCATTGTCTTATTTCAAGTGCATATTATCTAATAATCTTATTTAAGACTAAAAATACTGATTCCATTGGCATATCATCCCATTTACCTACTAAAATGAAGGGTACAAGAGAAGACATTTTTGCTTATTTCTTAACCATTTTTGCAGTGTAGAAGCAATCTCTGTGAAACCAACTCAGTAACACCAAGTTTTTACCACATAAACAAATGAGAAAAAATTAAAAAGTAATACGTCTAATTTTTGTAAATTAACTTAACACATTTTGCTAAATTCTGCAGCCAAGCGTTTAAAATGTACTGCGTTTAAATGATTAAACTGTGCAGAATTCATAATGCTCAACATACTAACCTTTGAGATTTTGACCTGGCTTTACACCGAGCATTAAAAACCTTTAATTTGCTCTGTCTACCTTATCCAGTCCTGCTTCTGTATGAGACTTCAGTTTACATGACACAGCCTCGCCGAGACCAAAAGAACTCATGGACTTCACAAGCTTTTTTCTGTCCCACTGCTCTCACTCGACCATGCAAACTCAGACTAATGTAAATTATCCTGCCAAACTTTAGAGCAAATGGTAAAACGATCCTGAGTCCTTGTCACCTCCACTCATGTCAGGGACTTGCTGAAGCGTTCCTCGACCTTCCGGGCTGCGGGCTGGTTCCCATTACGCCCTGCTCCAACCAATCTGTACAGACGACTGTTATCAGAGACTAAAGTGGTTGTGTTGTTCAAAAACTGTAAAAGAAACCAAAAACCAAGAGGAGTGACAAAATCTCACTGGGCGTTGAAATCACCTAAAGTGTTTAATCACCTCTGAGGGCCCGAAGAACAACATCTCCAGCTTGCAGAATTATAATGGCTAAATAAGCAAAGACTGAGCTTTAATGTGTTTAGTTTGCTACAGGTCTAATATGACAAACCATCACAAGCATAAACCTGTTACAATAGGGCCCACAATTTAACTCAGCTTGTCTTACTTGTCCTATTAAACTGATGTCCAATGCTGAATACTACAGGTAGTTTTTCTTTGACACGAAAGACATTCAGCTTGGGGATTTGGAAGATTTTCTGCTATATGAAGCGAGAAGGACTCACCCTCTTCTCCAAACAGACAAAAGGCAGAGAAGCCAAGTTAAAGGTCAGCACCCGCAGATACTGAGGGAAGACACTAAGACATCAAAAGAGGAAGTCTCTGGAGATTCACAAGGACCCCTAGTAGCCTGCAGGGAGACTGACTATATATATTTTTCAT